AAATCGGGGCTCGTCCGAATAGAGAGGTGTGAACCTTCCCCCATGAATTAAGTCTTGTGATCATCTTGGCCAGCAGGCTACGGCCCATCTCTGCGGCTGCTCCTAACTCGTTAAGCTGGATTCCAGGAACTCTCATTGGGTCGTTGGGATCTGACCATGACATGCCTTCTGGTGAGTCTTGAAGGGGCTCAGTGTTGTCGTTAGTTAGCCACCAACCTAGAGTTTTCTTCCAGTTTATCCGCATTTTTTAGGCCAACTGGTATGCATTCATTGCTCTGGTGAGGGCCTCAAAGGAGGAATTAGTGGCTCTAATCAAGACAGTTAGACCATCAGCAAAAAGGGTGGTGGGGGGTATGACATAGCTGCGGGTATTGTCCTCTGATGTCGACATGATCCTTTCTATGGAGGGATCCTGTCTCTAATCAAGACAGTTAGACCATCAGCAAAAAGGGTGGTGGGGGGTATGACATAGCTGTGGGTATTGTCCTCTGATGTCGACATGATCCTTTCTATGGAGGGATCCTTTATAAGAAAGGAGGCTATGGCTTCCATGATGAAGAGGAAGATTGACAATGCAACGGGATCCCTTGCCTCACTGATCTCGGCATCTTGTAAGTATTAGGTATATGGTCGTTCATCTGTACCGCTCCATAGGCATCGCTGTATAGGATTTTTACCCACTGTCGAAAGATGGGCCCAATCCCCATTTTCTCTGCACCAGCTGGAAACCGGGTCCAGCGTCCCAATTACAAAGATGGAGCAAGAAGTAAGCTGTTAACTGGTGAATGGCTGTGTTCCTTCCTCTTGCTTTGATCTTCTAGAAAAAGGAGTTAGTCATATTTTCTCCTTCTTCCCATTCTTTAATCCGAGCTCTCATGCGGAGACCTCTTGCCTTCCAAGCGCTCCAATTGGCTAATTTTGCTTTGGATCTTGCCAGGAGTTCCTTGTTGGCTCTCTCTCCTGGGTTATCTAAGATGTTTCTTTCTACCAGGTTGACTTCTGCTTCCAGTTCCCTTCTCCTTTGGTCCCTCGTGGCTGCTATTTTCCTAGAGGCTGGAGATGCTGCCTTGGAAAGGTTAGCAACTAGCATTGGGAGCCTGCTCCCTCTCTCTCTCTCTGAGTCTATGCAAGCATATGTTATTGCTTCCTTCATTCTTTCATGTGAAGTACAAAGTTGTTGATTTTGAAGAAGCTTGTGCCTTTCTGTATACGAGGGTCAAATAGTAGGTTTAAGTAGATGGGGGTGTGGTCCAGACACTTATGGTATGAAAGTTTTCCTAAGCCCGTGCCATGTATTGTGCCCTTAAGTGATTCAAATATGAGGAAAAAAAGTATTGTGGAACTTGGTATGTATTGCGATCTATTTCTCTTCCTATATTTGTATCTGTTTGTTTCTGGTTGTATCGTTCTTAGTGGTTGTCTCAAATCCCTTTTGATCATCAGCGCTTGTATTGCCTGGGCTTCTACTAGAAGTGAGTCTACCCTACCTCTTTGTGAACGTGAGAGTTTCTCTAATTGGATCTAGGGCGGTGTTCCAATCCCCTACTAGTATCAGATGCTTCTGGCCGTTACATCTAGCTGATTCTGGCCATTACATCTGCTGGTATGTTGTGTATGAATGTTTGTCTTTGGATGGGATCGTTAGGTGCGCAGACATTTATTAATTGAAAATTTTCTTCGTTGTAGGTGAAGCTTACTTCTATCCATCTTCCTCTTTCCTCATTTGTTCTGACTTCTGATATAATAAGCGAGTTCTTTGAGTTTGAGTTTTGATTTCAGAGGATGGCTGTGCCTGCTGAACCAGTCTTGGGGATGGGGCCCAGTATCCTGTCTGAACATATTTTAATCTTGTAAGAATTTTCTTGATCGTTGTCTTATGTTCACTAGAGTTTATTAGGTGGGTTTCTTGAAGACGTACTAAGTCTGGCGGAATCCTAGTGAACCCGTTGAGATGTTTGGTCATACTGTCCCATTTGTCCATGTTGGTTAGAACTTAGAATTGTTGTTAGTCCGTTAAAATTCCATGACATTACCGCTATCAGCACCCCTAGCATTACCCCGGGTTGCTATCTGGTTAAAAAAAAAAAAAAAAAAACTCAGGTTCACTGGGTTTGATGATACATTGTCTGGGCGCCAGTAGAGTGCTTGAGTCTGCAAGGTTGGTGGTGCCATGGAATGTTAATTGAGGGCTGGCTTTGGATCGCTCCTGTGGTTTATCTAGTTGGGGGTGATACCAGCCTGCAGGCTCTGGTGTGACTTGGTTCTGTGTGCTCCTGCAACCAGGACCTCCTGTAGGTGCTCCTCCTCCCCCTCAAAGAGTGCATGCACTTCTACCATTAATGCTGCTACTGCAGCCCTTTCCGCAAGAGCATTCCATATGGGATTGCCCTCAACACCTTCCATGGTTTTCATGTGATGTGGTCATAAAGCTGTACCTCCATCCAATACGGCGATGAATAGTCTCAAGTCACTCGTCATGATGTCTACTAAGGGACTGAACACCTCCCCTCTCCATTCATCTCTGGGTCCCAAAATGTGAGACTCCAACGGAGCAGTCTCTGACACATCGGTTGCCATCACTTTCTCTGATGGTTAGGCTAATGCTATTAGAGACCATGACTTGTTGACAGCCACTTCCTAGTCCTCCTGAACTCCATTCCATCTGTACAGTGTCACAATCCTTTTCTTGCAGCCCTCTTTGGCTTCTAGTCTGGCTGCTGTGAAGATTTCTGTGCTTTTGCCCACAGACAGGCTTTGCAGATTGACTGTGTTTTCTGCTGTTCCCCTGTTCTGATCTTTGAGGACTAATTTGGGCCCTTGGGATTTCAGCCTGCCTGTCCAAGTCTAACTTTGTGCTCAGTTTGATCTCTTCCACTGCTTCTGTCTCTCCCCTTGCGCTGGCTGATGGTCCCACTTGAGCTCTACACTTGGGCCCCTTTGCCTTTTTGGCTGGCTGTCTGTTGGTTGCTGCAGAGTAAAGACTTTGGCCAAGTGTAGAGATTACTACCGGTATGACTCTGGGATGAGATCTCAGTCAATCTGTGGCCGTATCTTTCTGCAAAAAAATTGGCCAGTTCGTGTTCCTTTTCAAGAATCTCAAATTGGTTTTGAGTGGGAAAACTGCTGACTCTTGGCTGTTGGTTGTGGTTGATGTTTTGCAGGTTAAGATTTTCGGTCCTTGACTATTTTCAGGACTTGTGTCTTTTTAGGTTGACTGTTTGGTGTGGCGCTGCGTTGTCTGCTTGGTCTGTTTGGTGCGCTTGTATGTCGTCGTTTGGTGTGCCCATTTACTGAATTAAAAAAAAAGCCTTTTACGTGATTATTGTCACTTCACCATATTTGTGTTAATTCAGTCCAAAGTTCCAAACTAGTTTATTTTTGCATATCCCTTTTATTTGTTTAGGAAAAATCATTTTTGGTTCACCAAACGCTTCTACATTTTCTACTCCAAAATTAAATTCATTATTCATCTCCAATTTTCCTTTTTTCTTCCAGTTCATTGTGTGTCGGTTGCTTGGTCTGGTTGGTGTCCTTGTGTGTCGTCAGCTTGGTATGGTTGTGTGTCGTCTGCCCTTCCGCCTCCCCCATGCCCTCACCCTATGTCCTTTCCAGCTCTTTGTCATCCTACGCTTTGTAGCCTCGTGTCTTTCCCTTCGCACCTTCTGTGCTGTCTTCTGTCATTGTCTGCCCTACTGCCTCCCCCGTGCCCTCCAGCTTATGTGCCCATGTTGCTGCTTATCGTCCTACGCCTTGTTCCCTTGTGTCTTTTCCCGTACTTGCCTTATGTTGTTAGTCTGTTCGCTGCCGTGGTCATCTGCTCGTTTCCTTGCTGCTTATCACACACACACACACACACACACACATGGCCTAATTCTTTACCCTGCTTTAGAACATTTGCTGTCTTTTCGATAAGGAATGTCTGTGGGTGGCCACAAGTCTGTTGGGGTGGGAATGTATGTTTGAAAATTTGGCCACAGTATCTTCGCGAGGAAGCTCAGAGAGTGTTTCTGTGGGTGTCATTCCCACAAGCTGCCTTTTCGGAGCACATGGAAGAAATGAGGGCTGCTAGGGTGTTTTAAGCAGTAGAGCTCCTGGTGTCGCATGAAGATCTTGTGGAGTTTGGGATTATGGCACACTCCAGGGCTAGACAGCAAAATGAAAAGGATGATGTCTAGCCATGGAGTGATAGAGATGGTGGTGACGTGAGTGAGTCGTTTGGGATGAATGGCAATGCCAATGCTGTTGTGCTTGTGTAATTAATTTTCGTGGTTTTGTGGGCCACTTCGGAGGGGTCTCCAATTTTTATCGGACCTGGGCTTGTGCTTTCTTGCTGGTGGAGTCCTCTATTTTACTCGAGTTGCCTTTTGCCCTCCAGCCCTTTATGGACTATGAAATATACATGCATAAACCAGCAGACGGGGGTGTGGGCACTTGGCACTGAGCCACACAAACGTGGCCAACCTTGCATTTTTTACTATCTTGCCATTTTTCAGTATCTTGCCCATCTATACTTTCTTTGTTTTATGAATAATTTATGATGATTTGTGGATGGAATGAGAGAGCGAATTTGGGGATTTAAACATACACTCACATACATGCACGTGCTCCTTGCTTTGGTCATCTGCTCGTTTCCTCACTGGACAGTGGGCCCCTTAAACCAGCAGTGCACCCGGGCCTGGAGGCGCTGCAATGCGCGCCAAGCCTTTCCGAACCGCCAGCTGCACACTTCTTTTTCTTTATGACTGGCACCATCAGCCATTGTAGTCCGCTAGCCCCGAGCTGAAAAAAATTGGAGTTGGCGACTTGCGATTCTCTATAAGTCTGGGGCTGTGTACCGGCGGTTTAAGCCTTGAGAAGTAAGTTGGCTTTCATGCCAGGGTCCTTGTGGGAGTTCTTGGCCTTAATAGTCTTGTGCTTTTTATGGGCATCAATGGGCTCTGAATTTCTGAAATGGTAAAACATTGTCCAAAACAGAGAAAAAGAAAAGATAGAAGATGGGAGTCGGAAAACGGAGAACTGAAAACCTGAACACGACAACATTGTGTGGATATCATTCTGCACGAGTTCTTACACAACATTATCTTCGTCCTCTTCGTCATCATCGTTGTCCTCCTCGTCCTCTGTCGTCTCCACGTCTGTATCATCATCTGCATCCTCATCGTCTGCATCTTCGTTGTCATCATCATTGCCGTCATCATCTCCTTCGTCATCTTCATCCTCCTCATCATCATTGTCTTCGTCATCTTGCTCACCATTCTCCGGCGGCGAAAGTCTTCCCTTACGAAAAAGCAAGCCACGACTGAACGCAATCCTTAGCAACCGAAGAACCTCCTCCCCTTCCTGCGTGTATGGAAGGAATGTCACTTGTGTCCTCCCGTGGTCTGATGTGCCTTGACTGCCATCTTCCACTCCCTGCACGTGAGCACAGACAGACAGACAGAGACAGACAGAGACAGACAGACAGACAGACGAATCAAGGGATGGACGGACGGACAGATCTACCCACCGATACACCGACTGATTGACGGACCGATGGACTGAACCAACGGATCGACCGACCAATGAATGGACAGGCCGAACGAGCAGCAGACAGACAGACAGACAAACAGACAGACGTACAAAGAGAGAGGTTTCGGAAGCTGTTATTTAATGTGACATGATGCTGTTATACAATTAATTTCTTAAACTACCGGTACATGGTAGCCTGTCGCATGTATTTTCATTCTTCAACTAGTACCCGAACCGGAACAGTCGCACAAACACCAGTATAGTACGGCCTACGGCTGCACCAGGAATAGTTTCTGTTGTGTCACAATGTACTGGTGGTTTTAATACGGATACCAAAGTTCATGGCCAGGTAGGATGGGAATTTGATATTTGAAAAAAAAAGAAAAGAAACGGAATTGGCTATTTGAGGTTTTAGAATTCCACAACTGATATAAAGATAATACCATCTTCACCCGAATCGAATGCCCGATCATTATCACTGTATTTGGACTGAAAGTTTCCCCAAATACAGCATTAATGACCGCGCGTTCTATTGGGGTGAAGACAGTAGGCAAGCATTGGAAAACGACACACTGTGCAAAATGTGCAGAGATTTTCCGTACCAGGGTTGATTGGTCGATCTAAGGTGGCGATCATCAGAGTAGTCAAACTCTGGAGCAGAGATGAGCAACGGGTACCCAGACCCACACCCACCGGCACCCACCCCACCCATGAGGCATTGGGTCAGGTGTGGGTCTTGATAAGCTGGCATGGGTAGGATGAGGGTGGGTCAAGGCGAGCAAGCCTGGGTGGGTGACGGGCGGGTCCATGTTACGCCAGGCTCACCCGAATGGGTGGGTGGCAAGCAGGTGAGCGCTAGGCCTGTGTTATGTACCCGATTGAACTTCAATCCACAACGAATTCACACGTTCCCATACACGCATGCGATTGCAGAGTAGACTCGAAGGAGGCAAGTCCACACAAAACCGGAGAGAAGATATGCACATCGGAAGCTCAAAATACACAGAGAATTGAAAAACGAATTTCAATTCTGCAATCCCTCGTCCTCCTCCAATCAATCCAGAGTACTTGTTCCAAGAATCACAACCGCGTTTACAACAACCCCGAACAACCAGAAACAAGTGTTCAACGAAGTATGCAGGTGTTATGACCTGTCATCACACGGACTGAAACAGACAGCCGATTTCTGAGTCTTGCCGTGGAATGCATGCCATACTAAGTTCCCCCGCCTGCTAAGTCTGCTTGTGTGTGTGTGTGCTGGATTGCAT